CCGAGGGTCGCGCGGCGGCTCCCTCCGCCCGGCGCGCCTGGACGCCGGTCCGCGGCGCGGCTGCCGGGTCGTGCCCTCACCCACTCGCCCCTCCACGCGTGGCGGGACGATCGCCCCTGCGAGCCGGGCTGTCTCAGCAGGTTCACGCCTCTGTCTCGGGCGGGACCCGTCGCTCCGCTGTTTAGGTCGACCGCTCTTGATTTACAGGTAGGGCTCTGGTGACCAGTGGGAAAAATGATTTCCTCTTTGTTCATACTTTGTCATCTGCATCACACCTGAGGCTGTTTTCAGGGGTGCGCTTTTATAACCTAAAGAGAAAGCCCATAAGGAACAGATAAAAAAAAAAATATTTTGTTTTCTTGCTGTGCTATGTCTGCCCCTTTGGTCAAAACAGCAACTATTGTCACAACAATTGCAAGCAATGTAAAGCATGTCAACTACTGTTCACGTTTTGCTAAAGCTTTTTGAACCCCAGGTAGCCACAGCTGCTGCTCAGCAACTTTTTTTCACCCTGTGGAAAATTCTTTTATAGGACTGGAGAAAGGAAGTCAGTACAGTTTCCAAGTGTCAGCCATGACAGTCAATGGCACCGGACCACCTTCCAACTGGTACACAGCGGAGACTCCTGAGAATGACCTTGATGGTAAGACTTTGCCCCAGTCACTGTCACTCTGATTTCTGTTTTCTTTGTTACCTCAGCTTCAAAGGGTCTTTTACAAAAGCCATGAACTTCAACTTAGGGTCATTTATTCTTCCTATATGTTCAAATGCAAAACAAAAGAAGACACAACAGAGAAATCTTCATGAATACATAGGCTTCAACAATGCCATGTAAGTAATGCTATCCCACAAAAGGTATAGCATGAATCATACATCACTTACGGTCTTATAACAAGTTGCTTTTATTCAAGCTTATCTGAAAGGAGATTTTTAAAAATTTATTTTTTAATAATTGGCCTTAACCATCATCTTTATAGAAATTATTAAAATTTCTAACAGTAATCATGAAACAAAATTACATTACATAACTTCTCTGATTCTCTTAGGAGGCTTCTGTAAAACATCAATATGTATTTTTGTTTTGCTTATGTTACCATCGTTACCTTCATAAAAGACGGTCTACTTCATTTGCTTAAATAATAGTTGTTGTGAGATGTTTAAGAATGAGATTCTAAGTTCATATGAAATTCACATATCAATAAATTAAATATAACCAGAAGCTCCAAAATCAGCAGATTAGAAATTTTTGTTGGAATGCAAACATCATGACTAAATGTAAAAAATAACATTTTTAAAAATGGGTGTCATCTGTGATTTCCTCATAGTCACAGATTTTCAATAAAATAATTATGGTGCCAGTAAAACGATAGATCGTATTCCCACAATAAAGATAATCACTGGTATATAACCACATATTAGTGCAAAGGATACTTATAGAAATCTTACCAAGCATCAGGCACTGTGCTTAGCTCTGAAGATGCAATAATAATGGAAAGGATATGGTCCTTATGGAGTTAAAATTATTGCAAAGAAGACATTTTTGGTGAACTAGAGGGAATTGTCATTGTTATAGTTCCAGCCTGATTGGATATTTGAAAACCGTGGTTCAACATAAAACAGATAGATAGCCAGACAAGTAGATGAACAGACAGACAGACATGGAAGACTTGCATTTAAACTGAGACTTGAATGATGAATAAGAATTAGCTGAGCAGAAGAGTACATTAGAGATTGAGACGAAGGAATAAAGAGTGAGGTAAATGTAGGTTTGAAGAGATGACAGTGGCACCGTCTGAGGACAGAAAAAGAGCAATCAAGGTTGAAACACAGAGATGGCATAAGGTGAGATCTATAAGATATAGGCAGTTTCTAAATCTGGCAAGACCAAATTAAGGATGTTTAACATTGTCGTGAGAATGTCATTAGAGCAATAACTTACTTTACCCTAAGCAAGGAACTAAAAGTTTTTAAAAAGTGACTTAATTAGAATTACATTTGGTAGAGATTACTCTGACCGACATGCAAAAAAAAAAAGTATTAGAAGTAGGCAAACACATACAACCCGAATGACAGTCCTAGAGGTAATATTGGAGGTTATAGGAAATATCTTTAGGCTTAGATATATTATTTAACCTATCTTAATGGAAAAGTCATGGAAATATACAAAGTGACACTTCCTAAAGCTCTTATCCTTCAGGAGTAGGAAATATCCATTCATGTATTTATTCCACACATATTTCTTGTTGAAAGTCAATATATACCAGACATTACATATCGAGAATGAAGCAATAAATAAAGATTCTACTCTTGAGTGTGTTTCACTGAGATAAAGACAGGTACTGATATATACTCTGAAGAGAAAGGAAGCATGGTAGAGGAAATAGCAATGGTTAGGGAGTACTCTTTTATGTAGGGAGTCAAAGAGATTTCTCTGATTAAGGCTATGTAAGCCCAGACATTAAGGAAGTGAGGGAAGCAGTCATACAAATAGATAAGACGAGAGCCCTCCACGTAGAAGGAAAAGCAAGAACAGATATCCTGAGAATGAACCCCAACAGGTACTTGAGGTATGCATGGTAAGAGTTCAGTGGGGTTAAACTTAAAGTCATGAAGATATAATCTATCGAATGCAAAGAGTAGAAGCGTGGTGACAATCAGCTATACATACATGTATTTTTCTATTTTACTTGAGAAATAACCTTTAGAGTCTATATACTTGTGCTTTATCTCCTCTTCTACCCTTATGGAATGTTCACTGTTAGTCTTGCTTTAAAGAAGAGCAACTTAAGCTAAGAAAATATAACTCACATGATCAAGTTGTCAACAAGTAACTGTGGAACTGGAACTCAAGGCTAGGCTTTGTGTATTGAGGTCCAGAGCAGGTGATCACTGCAAAATCCCCACTACTCACATAGCACTGACTTGGTGACAATAAAGACAGTGATTCAAGGCAAACGAACAATTCTAAGAAGCGAGGTCATTTCATTTACCCAAAACTAAGGGGCTATATTTCTTACTGGAAGGCATGAAAATAAATGGAGCACAGGTGCTGAAGTTCTTATAAAATATCCAGAAAGAAGGGGATTGTCTACTTGACTTATATGCTCTCCTAACTCCGAATGAGTCACAATCTAAGTGGAACCGAAACACAAAATCACCGCTTGTTGGATGGCCCAAAACTCGCGTTTAACTCCACGCTTTTCACATCTGTGTGATCTAAATATAATCCAATTCGTACATCTATTTTAATCAAGAATCTATGCCAGGCTTATGAGTAAAGTCTTAATAAACTGGGATTGTCTGAACTTTTCTGTGCTTTTGAATTAATAATGAATGGCCCTCTTCTACAGGCAGAATTTCTTCTTACTTTTTTCTGAGTACAGATGCCGTTATTATGAAATATAATTTAAAAGCCTATAGAGCTCTGAATCACTGGAAGTACAAACATGAATATAATGAGAACAGCTCTATTGGAGCACAGGCAAATAATGGTTTCACTGATTGGAAAAGACTTCATAAACCAAGTAGAACGTGAACTAGAAACTTTAGGGAAAGGGATTTCTGAAGTTCTGACAACGAGGATTACAGAGAAGAATGTGTGGGACGGCACAGAAGACATTCATTTAAAAAGTGCCCTTGGCAGTATTATTTCTGCAACTATTAATTCAAAATGTATCCTCACTCATGTATATGTCACTGTATTGTCATTTGATTATCATAACACTTTTCCATACATTTCAAAATGGCCTCTTTTTTCACGTTTCCATCTCTTGATTTGAGTAATAATTTCTGACACCATTCTTTTTTTTATTTTATTTATTTTTTATTTTTTTATTTTTTGAGTTGGAGTCTCACTCTGTTGCCCAGACTGGAGTGCAGTGGCCGCTCCCGGCCACCGCAGCCTCGACGTGCTGGGCTCCGGCGATCCTTCCACCTCAGCCTTCCAAGGAGCCGGAATTATAGGCACGCGCTACCACGCCCGGCTGATTTTTTGATTTATTGTAGAGATGAGGTCTCGCTGCCCAGGCGGGTCTCGAACCCACGGGCTCAGGCAATCCACTCACCTCAGCCTCCCAAGGCACGGGATTACAGGCTGAGCCACCAAGCCCGGCTCTGACACTATTCTTATCCTTTCTTATAATGTACACGTTAGCAGTCTGAAAAAAGAAGTAAAAAATTATTGGAAGAAAGCCAGTGGAGTTAACACTTCTTGCACATAATATTATTATAGATTATGATCTGAAATTGTTTATGTTTAAATATAATGGAAATTAAAAGCTGTTTCAGGGCACTCAACTAGATAAAAGTGGAAGACAGGTGTATTTCACTTGCTATAAGAAACGAATTGTACCAAAGTCACTCCGTTTATTGACCCTTGATCACGTTCCACTGAGACACTTCCTTAGACTGACTTTGATTCCCTTCCTTTTGTTCTTGTTTCATATTTATTGCCCCATTCAAACATTCAAAAGTGTAACCCTTGATAGGAATTAATATTTGAATGAATGTCCAAATTCAAGACTAGTTATTAGTAGCTTGAAAAGAACACTCAGCCTGCAGTCTTGCTCTATTTAAAAGAGAAAAAATCAGAGAGAGAGGGATGTTCTTTAAATATTCATCTCACTTTAACTTATTTATGCAAACGTTTAAGACATAGAATAAGATATAAATGACTTCCGCCCACTGCTGAAACTTTCTTGACTAATGTTGGAAAGCTCTGTGTCCCAAGTCCTGAGTCCTAAGACTCCAAAGTCAGAAATGTTCATATAGAGTGACTTTGATTTCCCTAAAATCAAGGATAGGGAGAGAGCAATCCCTTGGAGAACCACATGAAATGGAAGGCATTCCCTGCTCTCACTGAGGAAATTTGCATTGGAGGGCACTGCAGCCTTGCCCTCCCAGGGCGTGTGGTGTTGCATAGCCAAGAACTCTCCCCTTCCCTCTCCTGGCCATCCCCAAGGGAGTGATCTACGCTTCCCCATGCAACTCTGAGCCCTGCAAGTCAGCTAAACAGAGGCAGTGCTATTTGCCGATCGTCTCCTGCGACTTCTGTAGTTCCTCTTGCCTTCTTGGCTTGACTTCAGCCGTATGAAGATAACAGTAACTTGGAGAAATACCCCAACTCCGTAAGGATTGCCCTTTTAATTAGGATGTTTTGTTAAAGTAATTATGAAACCAAACCACACTATTTGTTCAGGGTTCCCTGGGAAGCACGTGGCTGTTACTGACAGCTGGGAAGTTTTAAAATATTTATTTTGCGCCTCAAAATTTCAGCTTAAAAATAAAACAACAAGATCATTAGAATTCCCTCAAGGTTTTCATGTAAATGTCTTGCATAAGGAAAGGAGAGAATTTGTGATGAAGTTCAACAAAGTATCCTCCAAGAAACTGAGCTCGAGGATCTGTTTGTGCCGCTTTACCTTTTTTAATTTGAAGTGAACAGGTAAAAATCGCTCTATAGAATCAGTAATGATGTGATTTAAAATTAAACCTCGGCCCTAAAGTGAAGGAGCTTAGCTAGCAAAAGTCAGATATGCAGAGACTTCTGAAAGTGCAACACTAATGTAGTCAAAAATGTGAACTTCATCTTACACAAAAGGAGTATAGCAGGCAAAGCCAAAACCAATTTTCAAAAGTAATATA